AGATCCGAGCGCTTGAAGAGAATTATACCTGGACTCTCGTCCCGCTGCCGCCCGGGAAGCGCGCTATTACACCAAAGTGGGTGTATAAAATCAAATATAATCCTGATGGGAGCATCGAACGTTACAAGGCTAGGCTTGTCGCCAAGGGTTTTACGCAAGTCGAGGGTGTCGATTACCATGACACTTATGCCCCCGTTGCTAAATTGGTCAGTGTACGAGCTTTGCTAGCTGTGGCTGCTGTCCGTGGATGGGAACTTCACCAACTTGACGTCAATAACGCCTTCCTCCATGGCGATCTTGAGGAGGAAGTCTACATGAAGATTCCCGAAGGTTTTGCTGCCCCAGGTGACACCCGTGTTTGTCGTTTGCATAAATCTCTATATGGATTGAAGCAGGCGTCACGAAATTGGTATGCAAAATTCACCTCCACTCTCCTGGGCCTTGGTTTCACTCGATCCCGAGCTGACTACTCTCTCTTCGTCCGTAAGACAGCCACTAGTTTTGTTTCGGCTTTGATCTATGTGGACGACGTGGTCCTGGCTGGTGATGATCCGCAGTTTATTCAGCAAGTCAAGACCACTCTTGATGCCCAGTTTGGCATCAAGGATCTGGGACCCCTGAAGTACTTCTTGGGGATTGAGGTGGCCCGTTCTTCGAAGGGTATTGCTCTTAGCCAGCGCAAGTACACCCTTGATCTTCTTCAGGATGCAGGCCTTACGGGGGGGCGTCCTAGTTCAGTACCGGTTGAGCAGAATCATCAGCTCACCCGTCCACCCGTCGATGGTGATACACGTCCGGTGGACAAGTCAGCTTACCGTCGGTTAGTTGGCCGCCTACAGTATTTAACAGTCACTCGACCTGACATCGTCTATGCTGTTAATGTGCTTAGCCGTTTTGTGCATTCACCGTCTCCTGTTCATGTGGATGCCGCCGAGCGGGTTCTACGTTACTTAAAGAATGCACCCGGCCAAGGTATTCTTTTACCCTCCGATGGTACTCTTCAGCTGACTGCCTATTGTGATGCTGATTGGGCCGGTTGTCAGCTCACTCGTCGGTCTACCTCTGGGTATTTTGTTATGTTGGGCAGTGCTCCTATCTCTTGGCGGACAAAGAAGCAAACTGTTGTTGCTCGGTCGTCAGCTGAGGCTGAGTATCGTGCCATGGCCAGTGCTGTTAGTGAGGTGTTATGGCTCCGGGCTTTTCTCCGTGATCTTGGTGTCGTTCAGTCTGCTCCTACTGCTCTCCACTGTGACAACCAGGCTGCCCTTCACATTGCCTCCAATCCAGTTTTCCACGAGCGGACCAAACATGTTGAGCTCGATTGTTACTTTGTGCGTGATCATGTCTCAGCTGGTACCATTCTTCCTACGAAGATTGCCTCCCAGGAACAGCTCGCTGACGTCTTCACCAAGGGTTTAGGCAGTGATCAATTTCATTATCTTCTCTCCAAGCTTGGCATTTGTAACCTGCATGCTAAGCTTGCGGGAGGGTGAAGGGTTCTACGTGCTTGTGCATGTGTAGGGGCATTTTGGGTTTTTACTCTTCCTAGCTCCTACGTCAACCCTAGGTCATAAGTAACATTAGGGTTGTATATATAAGCTCGTTCTTGCTGCTGCTGTAATCAAGCATCGTGAATAAGAGAATAACCGAGAAGGAGTTTTCCTTCTCCGTGGATTAGTCCCGTTCACAACGAATGGGGATACCACGTAAATCGATCGTGTCGTCTTATTTCCTTTCGATTGCTTGGATTTTTCATTTCCTTCTGCCTGATCTCTCCATTCCTCCCCCTAATCTCATGTTTCTCTAATCCCTCGCTGCTTGTGTTTGTATTTTCAGGTGAAGTACTCGAGAGATACCGAGAAACCTACCAAGTGTAATTTCACAGTGCAAGCCTTGGGGTTTTTCCAAATACGATTCTTTCTATCCTCCTTTGGATGGTAAGCATGGTGTTGACGGTTTGTTTTTCTCTGTTTTGTTTTTGTGTTTGCAGCTTGCAAGGCTAGGGGTTCTGATCTCCGTGTTCATTTCTAGGTGTGTTTTAGCAGTTTGAAATTTCTTTGTTTCTGAACTGAAAGCATTATCTTCTTGTTTGCCTGTCTGAGTATGACCTAGTCGATTTTAATTGCTTAAGAGTACGTTTTGAAATAAAGCTATTTGTTTTGTTTTGACTGGCGAAACCTAGGAAGGTAGGACAAGTTTGAGTTTGAGTTTTCTGCTGCCTGGAGGCTGGAGCTAGCTTGACTGGTCTAAAGTCACCCAATTTGCCTCTATTTCCCCCCCCCCCCCCCCCTTTCTATCTCACATTGTTCTGCATACTTTTAATGATTTCTCTCATTGTGGCAGCCTTCTCCACCCCCGCCTTCTGGTCGAAGGAGCGGGCAATTTGCCTAACTCTATGTTTCTCTGAACTTTCTGTTGCAGATTCGTCCAGAGGAAGGACCTTGAATCGGATAAAATGACAGTTGGGCGATGAGGCAAGCTGCTGATGTTTATGCAGTGTAGCTCTGTTGCTGCTTGGCTTGGATTAGCTGGTTGTGATCCTGTATTTTTTGCCATGGCTGGCGAGGTATAGCAGAAGCTGACTTGAACCCTTTGTGATCCAGGTGAGCCTTATTGTTTTATAGAGATTCCCCTCGCGCAACTGCCAAAGCTGACTTGAACCCTTTGTCTGAGAATCCAAAAGACACAGGGAAAGCTATCTCAAATCTCTGAACTCCAATGCAAGGGGTTTACCCAGCTTTCAATTCTCTTGTTTCCTGTTGCTGCCAGTTTGTCGTGTTAATAGAGATGAACTCTAGTTTGGTTTTCCATTCCCCTTTTACATGGTTGGCATCCTTCCTACAATGAAACTGGACAAAAGGAATCCTTCCTACACTGACCTTGTCAATGAAGTTGCTCTTAAAGTAAGTATGAACTTGTATTTGCAGTTTTCACTCTTTTTTTTTTTTTTTGTCATAGATAGATTGTAATAGATAGAGTATTACAATGCGGTGGAAATGAAAAAGCGGTAGTCAACCATATGGATTGCTACCGATGCAAGGGCCGTTTATGCCACGCGATGGGCAGCCCTGTTAGTACTACAAAAAGCAAACACAAAAGATGCAAATGCAAAAGAGATCTTGAGCAATTGCACTTCTTCAAACACCGCGCCACCGTTCGTGATCATGATTGACATCATTTGTCTTGCAAACCAAGATCCGGTAACCTGTAAAACCAATGAAACCAACGCTACCTCCCACAAATTCATAGGTTAGACTACACAACTCGACAAAACACAATACCAAGCTGCCGTACTTCCACTTGCTCCCTAGTCCCTAGCAAGTAGCAATACAATTCAACGAGGAGGTTGTTCGGTGAAAAAATATTTTAAGAAGAAGAGATTAAAATTAAAAGAAATAAATAGATAAATAAGTAAAAACAATTGGGATTTTGGGAGGTGGGAAACGTGCCTGACCACGAATAGAATCGTGGGAATGTAACTGTAGAGAAAAATGGAACCGCCGCCCAAAATTCTTGTTGCCGCCGAAAGGACTCGCCGCCAGCCGGAACTACTCGCTGCAGGAATCCAGATCACAACCCTTTTGAAGCCCCTGCAAAAGAAGGAAAAATCCACTGGAAAAGAATTTGATGGGTGGAGGAAAGGACATGTTCGGCGACGCACGATGGCGTAGGCAGCAAAATGCTCGAGCGCACGATGGCGAGAGAAAGAGCAATGCAGGTTCTCCTTCCAGAATCGATCTGTAGTAGGAAACCTCTTTTCGTTCTTTAAAAAGCGAAAGCAACTTTAGACAGATCAGGGTCTGCGCAGAAAGTGGCGACCAAAACCTCGATCCTTAATTCTGAATCCTTTCCTCTTGCCGCCGTCGATGCCGTCCTCGCTGCTACGGGAGAGAACCAGAGGGCGACGCTTTTGTAAAGTGGATACTGAGCAGAAGGAGCATCTCCGTCCTGAGCCTCTCTATCGGTCTGAAGATTCTCGAGTTGCTGGTCGATTGCCGCGGGCAACAAATGCGGATGCGACTGCAAAATCTGCACCAGGAACTGGCCCACCAGCCATGCTCGCGTTGTTGTTAACTTTGCAGTTTTCACTCTTTGATCGTCTGTGTTTCCTTAGAAATTGCTATATTAAAAATTGAGTATTAAATTCTCAACTTATTGACATGAATCAGATCTTGACAGTAATATGTTTATTTAAAAATTATAGTGAAAATTGGTTTAAAGCGTAGCTGGAGTTAAGCTCTTGGAATGATACTGAATGAGATAGGGATGAGTAGCTCCTTTACACTGCATTATAGTATTTGTTATCCGGTTTTCAATTTTAGCAGTTAAGCTTTTGGAACGATACGAAATGAAATGGATGCAGGGCTGGTGGTGGTGGTTCCAATGAAGCAAGCCAAATCCAGCTCCTGGGCATTCTTGAGTTGAAGCATATGATGCCACTGAATTTCTTTAATTACCTAAACCAGCCACTAATTCTTGTTGTATGTGTTGGGCGCTAGCAAAAATGTAGTGGGATTTAGGATCGAAATTCAGAGAACTTTAATTTTATATCTCTCAATCTTGGTTTACACTCACCTAGGCAAATAGATTGCCTTACACACACTAGTACTCTCGGCAATATAATTGCCTTGCGACACACTCAAGAGCTGCTGCTCTTTATATTGCTATCTCTCTGCCTCTCTTTTTTTCTTCTTTATATTATTAGTTTCCTTGCTTCTCTCGGTTGTGTATTACAGAGGCTACAAACCAGCTCTATTTATAGTTGCTGTCAACAGCCATTAGGAAGCTCCTGGAGAGCTTATTAATTGCTGTCGGTTGAACCAACTTGTAGGTGATAAGCTTCATCTCTTTTCTGCAGCTAAACTTGACCATAGTATTAATTATAGGTCCAGCTGTTAAGGATTGGTGTGGCCGACTTAGAGATGCGGTTGTACTTGTATCCATGTAATAATTATATGTTCATCTTGCTATCTCTTTGCCGACTTTGAATTGCAGCATACCATGTCCTCTTTTGCTCCAGTTTTTTCACGTGCAATATTTGGCTAAAGTCCACATAATTCTACTATTTTTTCGTGAAGGGGAGAACACAGTGAGCACATTGCAGATAGTAAGCTTCTCTTTTCCCTTTATTTTCAACAAAGTCTCTTAAATGAACGGAAAACCAAGCTCATAGTAAGCTGCATGCATATCTCATTTGCTAGAGTTAAATTATATGAATATTATGATGGAAGTTGTTGTTACAAACTTACAATATTCTCTTACCAGGAAGTGCTACTCTTGTTATGCAGGAAAGGGTTGAACTTCAGGTGATCAGGTGTGGCTTTGAATCTCTATCTTTTCTCGTCTTCTCTGTTTATGTTAGCTTAAGGTTTCTAGCTGTGTCAGTCAATAATCAGCGATCATGTATGTTGTCTGCAGATAAGCAGCTTTTCAGCATAACGTAAATTACCCTGTCATTGTCTTCTTTAGTTAGGTTTTAACAACTAAAACAAGAAATTTGGTAGCGGGTTGTGATCCTCTGTTTTTTGGGAGCCTTATTGTTTGTGTAGGGTGCCAAAAACTTTGGTTGCATTCTGTCGTTGTTATTATGTGTAAGCAGAGTGAGTATGAGATGTACTAGGTTCTGATTTGTTGAATTTTTTGTAGCTTGCAGATAGCATCAACATGGCTAGATTGGAGGAAGATTTACTCCATAATAAGTATTTGAGATTGCAATTTGTAACTAGAACAAGTTGTATTAAATCTTTAGATTCTTTGTTAAAGGCTACTTGTACTTCCAAAGCAACATTCATTAGTTCCTTCTACTTTTATGACTATTGTATTGTTATTATGAGACTAAAATTTATAAAATGCAATTGAAATGTTCATTCATTTATAAGATAATTGATTAATGTATTTCAATTGTTCTTGATGTTAAATTTAATTAGAGAACCGACCAGGTTTGGTCAATATCATATGACAATTTCAAAGTATTGTATATGACAGGTTTCCTGTAATCATTGAGACAAAACCTGTTGCTCTAGCGGGATCATGATCACTACGACCCTGTGGTAATTAGACAAAATCCTGTGACAAAAGATTCCAATAGTCACGGGAAGTCTTGTGATTGTTTCATAATTTTGTCACGGGAAATACTGTGACAAAATAAATCTTATGTCACGGGGTTTTTCCCGTTATTGTTTTCTTCCCTGTCACGGGATTTCCCGTGATATTTGACTTTTGACCACGGGCATGCTTGACACGGGAATATCCCGTGACAAACATTTTCCGTCACGGGAATTGGCTTTTCAGTTACGGGAAATCCCGTAATCGAAAGTGGTTTTTCCTGTAGTGAAACCCTAAAGAAGACAAGTAACATTATACTCTAAGCCAAGAACTATGCAAGTGATGACTTTAAGAACAAGTCAATTTCAGAATTATCAAATAACACTCGAACATTATTTTGAATCTGCAAAATACTATCAGCAACTCCCTTTGTTATAGCTCCATACTTAGTTGCACACCTATCTCGTAAGAGCCCACTGATAAGTGCCTTCCAGAGTACCCTTCCCACATTTTACCAAGTAGCTTTTCAAGAAAAGTTGGTAATAGAGCACTGCAATTCTGTATCCCAGTCATGAAATAGTATACCGCCACTAAACTTCTAGAAAAAACCCTTTGAACATGTCTTGGAATCTAGAACACTCAAAGAAAATATGTAAGTGTGTTTCAATCTGGCAATCACATAACAAACAATGAGAACTCCCTTGGATTCCCACTGCAGAGGCTTGTACCCTGTTGTAACACACTCTCTAATGATTAACCAACAGAGGATTAGTTATGTGGAAAAGAAGGAGAATGTCATACCAACTTGTACCAGCTGACTTCAAGGGATTTTGGTCTGAATCGTTCCTAACCGAGGTTGGTAGGGTTGGATTAGGTTGGACACCCATGTGTTTGACTCAATTGTCATTTTCAACGAAAAGGAAAAAGGTAAAAAATACTAAAGCGAATAAAACTCGCTCACGACCTCAAACTCGTGAACACTATGTTCAACTCGGTTTGACCCAGTTTTAACAAAATCACAATTTACCGAAATTGTAAATTACAAAAGCGGATAAAACTCGCTCTCGGTATGAAACGAGTCAGCAATGGGTCAGAGTTCAATTGTCATTCTCAACGAAAAGGAAAATGAGAAATAAAAAAACATTAAAGCGTACCAAACTCGATTTCGATCTAAAACCGGTCAAAAACATATTCAACTGCCTTTGACCAATTTTTTAACAAATTAACACTTGGTCCAAACTACCAACTACAAAAGCGGATAAAGCTCCCTCACAATACAACACTCGTTAATACCTTAGCTTCAGGTTCAATTGTTATGGTAAACACAATGAACAGTAGATGTAAACCTAGCGAATAATAGCTGAACACAAAAACTGTACAATCAACCGTGGATGAGAGAAGGATTAGGAACTTCTCAATTTGCACTTGGAGGAGTGTGAGAGCGAGTAATGAATAGTAACTCCATTGTTAATCTTTTATGCAATATTAATTATGGGAAACACAATGGACAATAGATGTAAACCTAGCGAACAATAGCTAAACACAAAAGTTGTAAAATGGAAAGTGGGATAAAAGAAAGACTTGAAACTTCCACATTTGCACTTGGAGGAGTGTTAGAGCCACTAATGAGTAGTAGCTCCAATGTTAGACTAGTTTTGTTCAACTTAATCAATCGGCACATCTCCTCTCATCGGTGAAGCATTAGGTGGAAGCCGTACTGGTCGAAGCAATTGACGGGAAATAGAACCCCAACTCTAGGTTCGACAAATCGGAACGGTGACAGAGGTATCTGTGCATCTTCCTTCTCCCCTGTTCTTTCTGTCAATCTGCCGGCCGTCGATCTGCCTGCCGATTAGCCAAGTCTAGGTCTCCCTCATCCATGGATCGATTCGCTGCCTGGGGGACTAGCTGTCCTTGCATCATATCAAGTTGCGCAGACAATCACAGAAAAGGAGAAGTAAGAGGTTTGAGATCCCACCGTAAATTTTCTGCGAATCACTTTCTCCTGCTCAACTCTAATTGGCGGCTGGGCAAATTGGAACTCCAATTCTCGATTCCCAAGGGAAGTAACCTCCTCTGTTCTATAACCAATAAGATTTGGCAATGAGATAGAACTTTTTAGTTTCTTATTTGAAACCGACGAAAGGAATTCAAACATTGTTCTTGACTGCTGAAATTGGTAATAAAAAGAAGAGCCTAATTAAATGGAAGAAGCTAGATACCACACTTGGCCAAGAAGTTCAATTGCATGCAATCGGTTTCCAGAGTTCTCAGTGCTGGCAAAATCTCATAATCTATAATCAGGCTGCGGGGAAGAGTGGGAGTCGTTGGAGATTGATGTTTGATTTCAAACGCAAAAAAGCAAACCCAAAGAGTACATTTTCTGGTTCTGATTGGCTTTGGGTCGCCACAACTAATTCTACTATATCTTTCTCATGAGTTATTTTAGTGTGCTTTATAGTATTGGTGCTATAAAACGTTTACAGCCATTAGATCATGTTCAAAATATATCAGCCATTAGATCTTATTTAAGTTATTAATATATTGTTTTATTTTGTGTATGGACAACCGGTTATACCAGTTGTAAAGTTTCAAAACTCATTCTCTTATCCTTCTCCTCCCCGTCGACAGAGCTCGGGCGAGGAATTCTAATCTCCGGCGATGCCAAATCCAACACCATCCTCTACACCAACGGTCGCTCCGTCATCATTAGGTACCTCGACCAACCCTTCAAAGTCGATGTCTACGGCGAGCACGGCTACCCTGTCACCGTCGGTCGCTACTCCCCCCACAAAGATCTGGGGTGTCCGTAACAGCTTCGTCCTCCACAACGAGTTTTGCATCCTCTCCGGCCGAATCGACGATCTGCAATGGTCCCCTAATCAACTGAGGATCGTCATCTCCGGCGACGACAAGGGAAAATACTTCGTACGTGCTTTCGTGTGAGTTTCCCCCTCCCTCCCTCTTATCGTAATTTTACCCCCTTTTGCCTTCAAAACCTAATTTCGAATTTAACAAGTTATTGAGCGAGCAATTTGTATCCCGGATTTCTGAAGGTGGGATTCGAGTAGCACCGTGGGGGAATTCGACGGAAATTCGAAGCGAGTGTTGAGCTGTGCGTTCAAGCCGATCGGCCGTTCCGGATTGTTACTGCGGAGAGGATTTCATTGTGAATTTCTGCGAAGGATGAACAGAAGACGATTTTGACAAGCAGCTACGATGGCCACATTATCAAATGGATCCAGTGTATTGGTTATGCTGGTAAATTGGAAAGGGGGTAAATTCCCAGATCAAGTGCTTGGCAGCTGCTAAAGATCAGATCATGACATCCGGATTCGATAACAAGGTAAACTTCCATCATTAACTACAACTGTAGAATGTACCCGATGTTTCAGCTTAACCAGTTAGTTGCATTTTAGATGCATTTTAGAGAAAAACTCCTAAACCACACTGCAAAACCGTAACTCCAAATCCATCATATTCTGCTGCTTCTAGGCTAGAATGGACTGGAGACAGTCGAATGCCTTATTTCTTTCTTCTGCTCTCGACCTCCTCTTCAGTCAACAACCGATTCATCTTCAATATTATCTCGTTGCCACAAAGTAAGTCTTTCCCTGTTTCAGTTTTTGACTATTTGCCACTATGAGCTGCTGTTTTCAATTACAGCTTATGAAATCTCTGTCCATATCAATTAACCTGCAGCTAATTGAACCCCTTATTTATCAATTCCACCTTATCCTTTTCGTCTGTATTACCTTGTATAGGGTATGCATCCATGCCTTGGAACTATCCTATTTTAGTATAAATGCATAAGCTTGGGCTTGGTCTTGGCTGCTGTATTACATATAGACGAAATTTGATGGAAAAAAGTTAATCAAGTTGAAATTAAATGAAATCGTACTCCGGGTACAAGTTTGTTACCCAAGTGCATGTTATCTCTGAGCATAGAGCATAAATAAGTATAGTGTAGACTAAGATATACCTTTGGCATTGGCTACTATCTCCTGGCCTCTGCATAAGCTCTATTCAATCGCACCTGTACAGAACGCCATACCTGGTGGACATCGTGAACGACAGGAAAGCAGGACGAGTCCTCAAACTGGACTCCATCGCCAACGGCAACGCCTGGCGCGGAATGGACGTCCTCATCTTCAACTCCTGGCACTGGTGGACTCACACCGACAGAACTCAGCCGTATGCCCCCTCACCCAGCTCCATTAATACATCATTTTCTGCTACTCATAAATCAAGCACGATTCAAAATCCGAAATGCAGATGGGATTACATACAAGACGGCAACAAGCTGTACAAGGACATGAACAGGCTAGTGGCGTACTACAAAGGGCTCACGACGTGGGCCAGATGGGTGGATCGCAACGTCGATCCCCGGAGGACCAAAGTCTTCTTCCAGGACATCTCCCCAACGCATTACGACGGCAGGGAGTGGAACCAGCCGTCGCAGACGTGTTCAGGGCAGACCCAGCCCTTCTTTGGGGTAAGGTACCCTGCAGGGATGCCTCCCGCGTGGGCTGTCGTGAACAAGGTGTTCAGCAGGATCAAGATCAGGCTAGTGTACCTTATGGACGTCACCGGTATGTCGTTGTACAGGAAGGATGCTCACCCTGGTTCCTATAGAGGCCTCCACTCGGGCACCGATTGTAGCCATTGGTGCCTTCCTGGCCTCCCTGATACCTGGAACCTACTCCTCTACTCAGCTTACATCAGCTAGCTACGAACTCCGATTCGGAATTAGAGTCTTACACGACCAAAGGTGTTCTCTTCTG